CTCTGCGGCGGGCATAGATTTTGGGCAGCCCAAGTCCGGAGTTGGATGTGCGCGATCTCCACCGAACTGAGGAGACGCACCAGGCTGACTGAAACGTGCAGAACCTAAGCGTGCTCTGGAGCGCAAATATCCTTAAATTGTTTTACCCCTCACTACCGTCATCATGGTTTTCGCATTCGATCATGACGATGCGCAGCTCGCAGGCAAGGTCCCGAACACTTCCGAGCCTGCCGTGCCAAACGATGACATGTTTGCCCTGGAGGATATGGACATGAGTCCTTCAAAAGTACCCCTCCACGTTGGGACCCCGCCGATCAATATCGTCAGCCCTATGCCAAAGCGCAGCGCACAGCCCAACCCTGAGGGCAAGCAGCTAGGACCAGACAAGTTGGACTTTGAGGCGGTTATGAAGAAGGCCCAGAAAAACAAGAGGAAGAAGAAGAAGGGACCAAATGCAGGTCTGCAGGCTACTAACGTGACTCGTGGCTTTCACACACCCGTCACATCGGGTGGAGAAGAGTCGGACTATTCCATTACGAGCACCCCACGGTTCGGGCCCGTCCGCTCTGGACTCCCTAGCGTGACTAGCAGTCCCGCGCTGCGACCACAGTCTACCATGGGAGGCATCAGCAGCCTCAAGGCCCAATTGGAGGCCTTGAACTTGGCCTCCAGAAGCGATTCCCCCATGAAGGACTTTTCCAACAAAGGTGTCGCCATGAGCCGGGTCGCATCGCATATGTCTAGCAACACCAGTATGTCTGGTCGAGAGAGTGATAGCGACCGTACGGAGATGGAGAGCTACGAAATTGATTTGAACGCCGAGGATTTCAGCGCTGATACGCTTTCTAAGACATCGACTATGTTGAACAATGGGATGGCACGCAAAATGACTGCAGAGGACTTTGAACCTTTGATGTGCCTTGGAAAAGGTAGTTACGGTACGGTGCTGCTTGTCAGGCAGCGTGAAACTGGACGTCTGTTTGCTCAGAAGCAGTTTAAGAAGGCATCCATCACCGTTCACAAGAAGCTTATTGAGCAGACCAAGACGGAGCGCAATGTTTTGGAGAGCGTGAACCGCTATCCATTCATTGTCAACTTCTACTATGCATTCCAGGACCAGGAGAAGCTGTATCTGATCCTCGAATATGCACAAGGTGGCGAGCTATTCCATCATCTTGCCGCTGAGCGCATGTTCACCGAGGATGTTGCAGCCTTCTACATGGCTGAAATGGTACTTGCTCTCGACCATCTGCACCGCACTGTCGGCGTCATCTACCGTGATCTGAAGCCCGAGAACTGTCTCTTGGACTCCGAAGGCCACCTTCTCCTCACCGACTTCGGTCTTAGCAAAGTCACTCTCGACGAAGACAATCCTTGCCGCTCTTTCCTCGGTACCGTAGAATACATGGCTCCGGAAGTCGTCCAAGGTCTTGAGTACGGTGCAGCAGTAGATTGGTGGTCCCTCGGCGCCCTCGGTTTCGACCTGCTTACTGGCTCACCCCCTTTCACGGGCAACAACAACGCCAAGATTCAAGAGAAAATCGTAAAGCAGAAGCTCTCGCTTCCCTACTACCTCAGCGCCGATGCCAAAGATCTCCTCACCCGCCTCCTGCGCAAAGACCCCAAGAAGCGCCTCGGCTTCAACATGTCCAAGGACCTCCAGACAATCAAGAAGCACCGCTTCTTCCGCAAGATAGACTGGAAGAAGCTCGAGGCCAGGGAGTTGGAGCCACCGATTCAGCCGCTAATCACGGACCCAGAGTTAGCAGAGAACTTTGCTCAGGACTTTACGGATTTGCCGCTTAGTCCCGTGTTGACCAAGAAGTTTGATGATTCACTGTTTGAGAGTCAGAACAACAATCCGTTTGGTGGGTTCAGCTTTGTGGCGAGTCAGAGTCTGTTGGATGGTGGGGAGTGGGGATACTAGAGAAGAAGTGTTGAGCAGTTTCTCGTGGGGCGAGCGTTTATGTTTGCATTGCTTGATTGTGTTTAATAGCAACGTTTGGCTTCAAGTGACTTTTATTAGTTTTTATCGTTTCAGGAATTCATATGAGATAACGTTGTTCAATGAATCTCAACAAGCAAAGTGAATTCTGGGTGAAATATATTGTTTTATTGCTTCATAACTGCCCGACCAGTTCATCCCAAACTCCGCGCTCGTGTGATCGGTATCATGCGCAAGCAATCATGAGTACTATAAACCATGTAGGTATCGTCAAGAAAGAAAGGAATCTCGTGTGTCTTTCAAAGAACTCGTCTATGAAGTAGGGGCAGCAGCGGGGGTCTGTCCAGCCTTCTCGCTGCTCTCTGCGGTGGTGGCAGTGGTAGTGGTAGAGGCACCAGTCTCCTCAGCCTTCTGCTTCTTGAGGTCTGCCAAGTGCCTTGCCTCGTTGTGGACATCCATGACAGTCTTGTTGCCCTGCTCGTAGAAAGCACGGAGCTTCTGACCGGTAGGGGTTGAGGCAGCCTTGTCAAAGTAGCTGGTCAAGGTGTTGAAGGCAGCGTAGCCCTTGTTTGTGACGCCGAGCTTCTGGTCCACGACCTGAGCCTTTTGTGTAGCCTGGGTCTTCTTGTCGACGTTGTTGATGAAGTTCATGAATTTTGAGCTGTAGCCGTTCTGCTTGTCTGCGGCCAGAGCACGCTCAATGGCCTTGTCTGAGATGGCATAGCCGTGGGCAAGGTACTCAGCAACGATGCGTGCGCGGGGCTTCTGTTCCTGCTCGATGTGATGGTCGCCATCCTTGGCCTCTTCGGCCGAGGCGGACTTTTCTCCGGCAAGCTCGTCGATGCTCTTAGCAGCAGTGACGTGCACAGAGTTGGGTCCAAGCTGAGTGTTGTCGAGGAGAAGGGCGGTCTTTGCGGCGGCGGCCTTCTCAAAGGTGACGGAAGCAGACTGGGCATCGTCGCCGGTAGGCTTTACACTGATGGATTGAATCTTTCCGCAGAAGCTGAAGAAGCTCTTGATCTCCTCCTCGCTCGTCTTCATGGAAATGTTCTCGACGTTGACGGTGGCAGCCATGATAGTGGATGTGTATTGTAGTTTGAAAGGTGTTAGGTTGTAATGGATTGTAAGTACGTAGAAACAAGTACGGTCGTGTAGAGTGTATGGCAGGAGACACGTATGGCCAGGGGTATTTGTAGCAGTGGTGAGGGGTGCGGAAACCAGCTCAGAGAGGGGCGCAGCCTGACGACGCAAGGGTGCAATGACGCAGGTGGGGCGGTGCTAGTGGCGTATAGACGGCATACCACGAGCACGAGCGCGAGCGCGAACATTCACGAAACGCCACCATGTCCATACTGTCTTTCATGTGAAACTGCACTGCCACATATGCAATTGCCTAGAGAGCACATGTGTAGATTAAGTAAGTCATGGCTAGACTATAATGGAGTATGATCATCTTTTACGCGGTAGACGCTTGTATTCGCCCGGGTTTATTGATAGCGAGGAATGGGTAAGCACAGAAGCACCGAGGCCAAAGTGCGGCATTTGAAGAATTACGATATTTGGTTATGTAGATGTACTCCATGAATTATGCAGAAATCTCACAAACTAGAGGCAGGAACATGTACACATGTGGACTAATCAGGGCTGGAATAACCCACTACGAAGCTTCATCACTCCACCAAACCCCGGCTTAAGCTAACGTCATAGCTCCGTAGTCCCATAGCACTTTGCGTGAGCTCTAGGCTCTGATGAACCGTTTCTTTTCACTCAATTGATACTAACAATGGCTTCCAGGCTAATTACCCAGTCTCCGTGGGCAGCACAGTCGTGCATCCGCCGCGCGCAAAATCTTGCGCCAACTGTATCGCGGCTCCCACAGCGTCGCTACATTTCCGCCTATGGCTACGAACAAGCAAAAGCCCTCACCTTCTCCGAGTATGGAGAGCCTCCTGCCGTGCTCTCTCTCCACAGTCATTCCATCTCGCCGCCTCATAGCAATCTTATGACCCTACGATTTCTCGCATCGCCTATAAACCCCGCCGATATCAACCAGATCCAAGGTGTCTACCCGTCGAAGCCAAGATTCACAACCGACCTAAGTACCCCAAAGCCAATCGCTGTTGCTGGAAATGAGGGCGTTGCTGAAATCATTGCGCTGGGCGAAGGCGTGAAGAAAGAGGGATTCAAAAAGGGCGATTGGGTATTCATGAAAGGACCTGGCTTCGGAACATGGCGCACACACGCAAGCGCCACAACCAACGACGTAGTAAAGCTCGACGAGCAGATGCGCGAAGGAATAACAGCAATTCAGGCTGGCACTGTATCCATCAACCCATGCACGGCCTACCGGATGCTCCGCGACTTCACCACCCTCTCGGAAGGCGACTGGTTCATACAAAACGGAGCAAACTCTGGCGTTGGCCGCGCAGCCATCCAGCTAGGCAAGAAGTGGGGCTACAAGAGTATCAATGTAATTCGTAGCCGCGACGACAAGAGCAAGGAAGACGCCATGAAGAAGGAGCTGCAGGACCTCGGCGCAGACGTTGTCATTACAGATGCAGAGTTGCAATCGCAAAGCATCAAGGATCAGGCCAAGGAATGGACAAGCGGGGGTCGCGCACCCATTCGTCTGGCACTCAACTGTGTGAACGGCAAGGCAGCAACAGCAATGGCGAAGCTTCTGTCTTCATCTGCGCACTTTGTTACCTATGGAGCCATGTCTAAGCAGCCATTGACCATTCCTGCATCGATGCTTATCTTCAAAGACATTCACTTCCACGGCTTCTGGGTAAGCAGGTGGGCAGAGCAGCATCCAGAGGAGAAACAAAAGACTGTTGCCGACGTGCTGGACATGACGCGAAAGGGTGAATTCAAGGACATGCCTGTTGATGAGATCAAGTGGGAATGGGAGACCAAGGGAGAGGAACTCATTGCCAAGGTCAAAGATACACTCGAGGGATACAGGAGCGGCAAGGGTATTTTTGTCTTTGGCAAGACATAGACTGTGTAGTCTTTGTATATAGAAATTAAGTGTGTAGCATTGTGCCTAGCTTCTCTACTGCAAGAATACCCTCGACCCATTATTCGGCAGCGGCGCTCTAAACAGCACAAATGGTCTCTCTCTGCGATCCGTCCCTGGGTAAAACGACGAGCTAAACGCAAGTTGGTTATCCGTAAAATACAGATACCCATCACTTCCAACCGACACTGCATTTACATTAGCATCCCAGAAAGAAAGAAAAAAAGAGAAGAAAATAGGAAAGAAACTCACTAGTATCCACCCAACTAATCCTCGGATCCCTCACAAAAACCGTCACAGACGCATTTGCCGGATTATAAAACCCCACCTCATTCTGCTCCATATTCCCCGCATACACAAACCCATTCGTATCCGTCTCAAACCCATCACTCACGCCCCTCTCGCCCCTCCTCTGCACCGCCGCCTGCGTCCTTAACTCCGCACTTTGGTCGCTCCTATCCCGCAGCCGCTCGGTAGGCACACTATACAGCGACCTCCCACCCACCGGCCCAAAATACAAGTCCTCACCCGATGAGGACAAAGCGATGCCGTCACTGCCGAGGGGAACGGTAGTAAGAGGGAGCCCCGGACCAGGTATGTAGTACAAAGGCTGGCCCCAGACATAGGGTACAAAACCGCGCTCAGCACGTACCTCTGCTGTGCCGTCGAGACGGCGCCAGGACTCGCCCGATGCGAGATCGACGACGACGATGCCGTTGCGGCCTTCGCTTGAGGAATCGGTAATGTACGCTACGCCTTTTCCCGTCGTACCGCTTAGACTGGGGCGCAGATCGAGGCGGATGTCGTTGAGGTACGAGGTCGGGTATGCGACTGTGGGCGGGAAGATGATTGTTTGGAGGATGCTGTTGCTGGAAATGTCGACGGAGATGAGTTTGGGGCCGCCTGGGGAGGCGGGGACGAGGGTCCCGTCCGGGGTGAGGGCGCGGCCGGTGTCGAGGATCCAGAGGCGGTCTTGGGCGTCGAGGACTACGCTTTGGACGCCGATGAGGTAGTTGGCGTAGTTTGCGCCGACGGGTGGGGACACGGTGTAGTTGATTGCTCCGTCGGGTGGGTTGTTGATGTCTACATTTGGATAAGGGATTTCCGTTCCGTTGGCTAGGATTTCTGCTACGGCGTGCTTGTTGTTGCTGCCCGTGTTGGTGTTGTTGGGGTCGAGGCCAGAAGGGTAGTTTGAGAATTTACGCCCGGTCTTGGAGACGGTGATACCTAAAGGGGTGTCAAAGTTTGAGAATGATTCAATAGGTAAGATGTTCAGGCAAAAAGTTACCAGTTGGCCATTGATCATTGTAGAGGTGCACGATTTCGAGTGATGGGCCTGCAATGCCAGGATCAGAGCGGATTCGCTGGGCGCTCGATAGTACGGGGAGCAAGGTGCTCAATGCCGCTACAACTGAACTCGCCAACATCTTGAGTTGCAGAGTCGGTATAGACACATGGTTTCATGGTGTCTGCCATCGTCAACTTATACAATTCTACATTGAGCACGCGTAAACTGCGAAAATGACCTCAGATGATACGACTAGGCAGTACAATAGTCTCCACGTCATGTACATGTCAGGCAATTGCAAAAGAACAAGGGTAACGGTCGATCTAGCTCTGCATTTGAGGTTATATCCAAGAGTAGCTACCTATTTACGGTTTAGACTCTACAATGGTTCACCCCGCTTTTGTGATGCAATGTGACATTGGCGGTACGGTGCGGACGGAGCTAGACCGGGGTACCTGTTCTTGGACTAAGAGCAGGAAGGCTCGTGTTTTTGATGTCGTAGAGATTTGTATAATCTTACAATGGACAATGACTGTCCTCATTTTTAAAATCGGATGAAATCTAGTCTCGTAAAACGTAGCAGATGGAGGGATACTGAAATTTTGTTTGCAGCTGTCGTTTGGTCCAAACTTTCATCCAACCCAACTCTTGACAACCTCTTTTAAAGATGTACTGTCATCTGTCCCAACCCAGGTGTGTGATTGTTCCGAATCCTCTGAATCCTCTGGTGCATCAGCAGAAAACCTTGCAACCTTGAGCTCTCCGTCATTGAATTCAATTCTAATATCCTTTGACGATGCAACACCCTTCTTCGCATCCTTGGTCCGAATCGAGAGCCGTGCATCTTGGCTTCTGGTCTGCGCGCGTGAAGAGTAGTCGTTCTTGAGTAATCGATGGGCAACGTGGAGCGAAAGGATCCAGTCCAGATATGACTTGAGTTCCTCGACAGTAGCAAACTTCTGCTGCTGAAATAATCCAAGATCGGAGCTAAGCGTGGACGGAAGATTTAATCTGTGTTCGGTGCCGAAGGTGGGTTGACCGATGATAGTGCGTGTAACGATACTCAAAGTTTCCGACTGTGCGCCGTTTGAAGTAGGGAGGGTCAAAGTAGCAGTTCCACCAAACGGCTTCATGAAAATCTCAAAGAGCTGATCAGTAGCTGATATGCCTTTCTTGGATGATGCTTCTAAGCTTCCAACAAGCGCTGCCCAAGAATTCTCACGTGTTGTTTCCAACGTCACGTCCAGACCGGCGCTGCGGAGAGTCTTCGCGACGAATCCAAGATAGGCGTGAAGCGAATCCACGCCCTCAATGTGGTAAAGGACAGCAAGGAGGGTACGTAGCAATGGCGGTGGTTGTTTCTCACGTGGTTTTCCTGTTAATGGAGGCGGGAGCTGTGATCTCCGATAGAGACGCATGCTATGCTCGTGAGCCAGCAAAAGGCGGAGTGATTCGGCAATATTCTTAGCCAGCCAGTCGTACTCACGAGATTGGTTATTTGGTATAGGATCGTCTCGGGGTACGCAATCGATGAGCAGCTTGCGGTTTTGGGACAGGCTGCCCATTTGAGGCGCATCAACATAAATGACAGAGTCCCGGAATTCGACCCCGTATGCTAACAATTGGCGCGTCTCCAAACTCATCTCGTAATATAGCTCTTCTTCAAACAAAGAATCTCGTGCCAGCTGGATGGACTTTTCCAGTGACTGATTAGCGAGTTCCGTGTCAATTGAAATTTGAGATGTTCCGGTGATTTTTCCATCGACGCTGATTCGAACGCGGAGTATCTTTGGCTTTAGTGCAAGAGCTGGATCTAGAATGATGCTGCCATCCTTGTCCATTTGCAGAGGGGCGAAACCACGGGCTTTGAAGTGATCACTCGCTAAAGGTTCTGTCAGCTCTGGTACGTCTCCGTTCAATGGGTGCCCCTACCTTCTGGAAGTCCATAGCGCACTGCAAAAGGCGCGTGACGTACGTTTTGACGCAGACGCTGAATAGGCCAGCCCTTGTCCGAGACGGAGACAATCTGATGCCAGTATTTTGTCTCACGTCGAATTTCCTTCTCCAAGTGTTTTGCTGCCTTAAGGATCTCATCTACTGACGAGTCGAGCGCGTCCATACGTGCGCCTTGTGCCACGACCTCTTGTCTCGCCTCGACATCCTGCAACCTCTGCTGCTCTTCGGGCTTTCGGATGCGGTGTTCGTGATTCTCCCGGCTCATACCAAAAGACCCGAGAGGAATGCCCTGGTTCAGACCTTGCTCGCGAAAGGTTGGGCTGAAGAAGTTGAGGCTGCGCTTGTTTGGATCTTGCGACAGGACGAGGGAGACGAGGTCGAGCGCATTGGTAGCAGCAAACTTAGCCCACCTGTTTCTTGTCAGACGTCGCGTCGTCGGCATGGATATGCGGGCGATACGTACTCCAAGTGGCTGTACATTTCCTGGCCTGCTTTGAACACCTTTTCTACTTGCTCCTGGCGGGACGGCGCATCGGTTTCCTTGTCTTTGTCTTCCTGCTTGATTGCATCGTCGGCACCGTCGGGCACGTGTTTTCCCGCGTCAATGTCTTGCTGCAGCGACTGTTCGGTGATGTTGCGCAAATGGCCCCGTTCGCTTGCGAGCTGCTCGATCTTGATCAATAGGTCTTCCTGGGTCAGCTCTTCCTTTTCAGTAGCTGGCCATGGCCGCAGCGTGACATTGTTCAGTGAATCCATGGCGACGGCAAGGCTAGCAGCGGCAGAGGGGATTGTAGAAGGTGAGTTGCAGTGGTTTGCTCCGGCGCGGTGGGCCCTTGCATAAAGGTCGGAGCTCTCAGTAGCGGCCGCTGGTAGATCCCCCGCTTATCGATTGTCGGCTTGCGTTGCACATGGAGCCACGGGTTCCTGGTGCTGCGTCCATTGTTTGGTGCGGAGAGGCAAGTGATGGCCGAACCAGTAATGGCCGTCATACATCCAAGTACAGCCTCTTGTCGTAGTGCATGTAGTAGCTTTGTGCGGGGACATCACAGGTCACCTGTGCATGGTCCCTTCCCTCTCCAGCCACTAGCGGCGGACTCCGATAAGCTTGGACATACAGCCTCAACCATACTGACAGCTCATACCTTATTGCTTCTTCTCCCATCTTCCTCTCTTTTCCTCCCCTCTCACAGACTGAATTGCTGCCAAAATGACGACAAGATACCGTGTAGAATGTAAGTGCTGACCCTTTTTGCCGCTATGGCTACAACCAGTATGCTGACATGATGCTCTCTGACTTGTAGATGCTCTCAAGGTGTGTGCAACGTGATTAACTGAGCATTTGGTTGTACACCGCTAATACATCTGGAAGACTCATCGAAGAGATCAGCTTGTGAGCATCACTCAATTTCTACTCCCTGCTTAGGCTAACCATGCTATCAGATTGAATGGATCAAGGTAACACCCATTGTGCCTCTAAAATCACATTGGCCGGTTTCTCATAGATTTTCAGGGTCTATTAGCTGTCCCGTTTGTGTTGCACTCGCATCCTACAGCCGTGTTTGAGCCCAATGGCGAATCGGTCGAGCAGCAGGCCAACATTGCCCAGCGGCGGTATGCTGAGATTATGCGTGATGTAGAAGAGATAATCAACGATCACAGTGAGTAACTGAAGCACGGGGATTCTCCCAAGCATGATCCAAATCGTTGTGTATTGACACCATACAGTTCAGCACCAGAAAGATGGCAAACCAGACCGGTCAAAGCTGAAGCTGTTGGTACCGTCAGTAGCAAACTTCTTCACACCACTAGCACTACATGATGCATTCATATGGCAAGACCAGCGGCGTTTCATTAGCCACCGGCGTTTTGTGCCTCCTTCTTTTAATGACGTTCGTCTGGTTCTCAACACAGCCCAGGTAATGAGTCTGGTCCGCAATGGCCCATTGGAACTCGTGACTTTTGACGGAGATGTGACGCTCTATGACGACGGAAAAAATCTTGAGCCCGACAATCCAATCATCCCAAAGATACTGGGACTGATGCGGCGTGGATCTAAGATTGGCATTGTCACGGCTGCCGGATACACTGAGGCAAAGCCATACTACGGAAGACTTCACGGCCTGCTCGATGCCATCCAGGCCTCTGATCTGCCTCGAGAGGCTCGTCAGAACTTGCTCATCATGGGAGGCGAGAGCAACTTTTGTTTCAAGTTTGACGAAAACAGCCCAGTGCTGTTGCGGCTAGTACCGCGAGCAGAGTGGCTGTTGGAAGAGATGCTGCTATGGCATGAGACGGACATCAAAGACCTCCTGGACCTGGCAGAGGCCTCGCTGAGGGACACGATTCGGAACTTCCGGATGGAGGCCAATGTGGTGCGCAAGGAGAGGGCAGTAGGCATTGTGCCCAAGCCTGGATATAAGTTTTGCCGTGAAACGCTAGAAGAGACAGTGTTGATTATTCAAAAGATTTTGGTATGTGCGTCGGAGATGGGGGCAGAGGACTGTGCTGACACTAGTAGGAAATTTCTGAGGTTGGCCAACGGCTGCCGTTTTGCGCGTTCAATGGTGAGTTGCAAGGCGGGACCCTGGGTAATATGAGGTGAAGATATATGTGTACTGACACGAAAGCAGGCGGAAACGACGTGTTTGTTGACATTGGGGACAAATCATGGGGAGTGCTGGCGTGTCAGCGCATCTTTGGGGGAATTGCAGGCAGCAAGACACTGCATGTGGGCGACCAGTTTCTTAGTGCGGGAGCAAATGATTTCAAGGCGCGATTGGCGTGCACTACAGCATGGATTGCCAACCCGCTAGAGACGTGCCAGTTGCTGGATGAGATTGCGGAGCTGGACGAGATTCACCAGCGCAAGACGCGGTGAACGGGGAGGGAGGGTAATGAGGGAGTTGTGTGTAGTATGTAGTACATATGTATGTAGTGTATGTATGTATGTGTGTATGTATGGATACGGAAACACCGAAGAAGGCATGCAAGGGGCGGCAGGGCGATTACATCAGCATGTCGGCAGCCGGCCAATCAGGGGGTAGGGTGAAGCAATGGACATGTCAGCGGAAGAGGGTGGTGTAGGCTGGAGGGGCGACTGTCAACAAAACACAGAGTTATCCGACATGCGCCGGGTCTGGAGACGCAGTGGTGCAGTATGAGTCTGGATGGTTGTATGGATGT